TTCGAAAAATCTATTTAAAAAGGCATACGCAAACCGACATTACAGATTATTTATATGGATTCACATACACATCTTTAAATTGATTTTTTTCAATAATTAACATATGAACATTCCTTCCTATATTCAATTGATATTTAGTCATTCTTTTTTTATATGTACTAGAAGGGTATTCGCACAATACAACGAGATACATCTCGATTTTAATGTTTCGTTTTTTTTTTGTCGCAGTCGATGTTATAATACGGTTTTATGTAGTTTTGATAAAACGATAATGTTTTTATTTTTTGAATAAAATATAAATATGAAGATATCATAAAAAATTGAAAAAAAAAATATCGATATTAGTACAAACTAACTATTTAAAATTTATCATTTCTCATTTTTCCAGTATTTCTTTAATTTATTTTTTATTTTTAATTTAATAATATAATTTTTTATAAAGATAATAATAAAGTATTTTGTTGGAAGTCAATAATTATCCTAATTATATTTTAGATTTTATATATTCAAAATGAGATATATATTCTCTATTTTATTACGTTTATCTACAGTTAGTTATACGAATTCAAACGTGAAGCTTTAACAAGTTGTAGTTACGTACAATTTACTTGTAGTCTTGAATTTTAAGTAATATGCATCAATAAACAGTATTTCATACATAAAAATAATTTTTAATAGTTTTTATCAAATGCTTTATAATATAGTATAGATATGATATAGAAATTTGACCTATTTAATACAACTTTGAATAGTAAATATTGGCCATAATTTAATAATATAAATAAAAAAAATCCCATATATATAGAGTTTGTTTCAGATGCAACCCATTACATTTGTATAACCAATACAACCCAATAAATTAAAATATTTATGAAAATGATAATAGTTCATTTATTATGATTTAAATACTTATGGAAGATGAATATGGTTCATTAATTATGATCAATACTTTACATTAAGAAAATAATCAAAACTTTTATGAAATTACATATTCATCAAATTAAATAAACGATTGAGACTGAGTTGTATTGGTTGTACAAATATAAGGGGTTGTATAATAACTCACCTATATATATATATATATATATATATCAAAAAAAAAATATTACTAAAATAGATATACCATAAAAATAGTAAGATGCTATTTATTTCACTATAATTTGAAGAAGATGCATCTTGGAAAACAATTTACTACACAACAAATTATGCTTAAAAACAAAAACAAAAACAAAAATAAAAATATATTTAAATATTAAAATAAAAAATCAAAAATAAAAAATTAAAATAAAGAGACAACAATTTCAACTGTGTTGGCTAATCAAATCTTGTGTTTTGTTTTCTACCATTCTGTTTTTTTCTTATACTTTATCTTTTAATATTTTAATATTATATCTTTTTATTTTGAACTTTTATGTATTCATATTTCTTTTGATTAATTATTAATTTTTTATTTTTATTTTATTAAAATAACAAAGTAAAATCATGGAAAAAGATTTTGATTCAAAAAATATTAACGTGTTACCGTGGATCACCATCGATCTGAACTATTGTCGACCACCGTCATCTGAACCACTGCGGATCACTACCGATATGAACCACATCCGACTACCGTTGATTTCGTAATTTCGTTTGGTTTATGGTTACATTTAGGTTGTGTATTTTTTATTGTTTTATATATTAAATAATTATTTTATTGAAGTATTTTTAGTTTTAAAAAAAAGACATTTTGGTCATTTACCAATACTTCATTCCAATTCCAAATGTATATTATGTGAACCAAACAGACATATTCCATTTTAATGTATGTCAACCCAACAAGTGGTCAAACCTGACAACATTTCATTCCAATTCTTTCAAAATTAAGTTCTTTTAACATATTTCATTTCATCCAAAAATATTATACAAACCAAACCTCATCTAAGGGGATTTCAAATGAAATATTACAAATAAAATATTCATAAATTCCATGGGATAATTGGTTTTCATGAGATTTTATCAGATTTTATTGTAATAATATTCTAAAATATATTAAGAACACTTATTTGTAATAATTAATAAATAAAAGAAATTTAATTATTTATAATTTATTTTTATAAATCATCTATAGAAAATGGAACCGTCTTCATTCCAAAAACAATTCAAACCATTAATCTGAATATTTCACATATGAAACAACATTGTATAAACTCTGTATTTTTACATATGTTGTTTTATAAGTTAAACAACATATGGAAAACCTTATTTGTAAATTTATACAAATTACTGAGTTTACAAATAATTATGTATTTATAAACATAAAATACAAATCCATGATTTTTTATCGTAATCTATGAGTAAAAGAAAAAACAAATTGTATAATAAAGTAACGTACTTTAAATTGATTCTTATTTTTGGTACAGTACTTTCAAAACTTTCATTTTGGTACATAAAATGTAAAGTTCTAAATATTTAAATACTTGGATAACCGGTTGAAGTATTAATTTTTTCTTCTAATAAGCCATAATACATAAAAACTAATTCTAGATTAAGATATTTATATCAGCAAATAATACTGAATTGGATATCACATCACTTGCTACATCAGCATGGTAACTGGTTAATATTTCAACTAGTTACCCAAGTATTTAAATGTTAAAAACTTTACATCTTAAATACTAAAATAAAAAATTTAAAAATACGTTATTCAAAATAAAAATTAAGTTAAAATACGTTTTTTTTTTTTAATTTACATTAAAAAAATATAAAAATAAGATAATGTTTTTAAACGTTGTGAAAATAGCATGGTGGTTGGTTGTGGGTCCCATGTTACTTTTCATAAATTGCAATCAGGCCCTCCTAATGAAGCTTTTTGGGGATCAACGTCATTACTTACAACGGTTCTAAACACCTTTTTATAACAACTACACTCATAATTTTGGAATTTATTTACATAAATGGTCCTTTGATTATATACAAATATTCACATTCTTCTATTTTCTTGAATTCAATTACGTTTTGTTCGGTCCGAAGAGATTTGAAATTGAATTTCATTCCAAGCCTCTGGTTTGAAGGATTTTCTGGATTTGAAATATCTGAATCCCCACAAATACAAGGTCCTGTTTGGTTTTGCAGAAATGCAATGGATTTTGCGAGATTTGGATTTCAAATTCATTCCAATCCCATGTTTGGTTCGTTAGATTGTCCGATTCGAAACCAAGGATTTGATTGAAATCCTTAGGGAGTGCTTGAGATTTCACAGGATTTCGTAGGATTGAAAATATGTTAAAAACATTTGTTTTGTCACTGTTTTTTATTAACTTTGATATCTAACCCGCTATGCGAGCCGACTAATCCCAGAGCGACCACCTGCTTTGCAGATAGCCTGGAGTCACCGCATTTTAACCTCCATGGCCACAAGGGGATTTTTATTCCTCATTGAATTTGAACCTGGGACCTCCGGTACTTTTGACATTTGGAGTCAAGCTCAAACCAAAAAGATGATTTAATTATTTTTATAATTAATTACACCAAAGATTTCAAATCATTATAAATTCAATTACTTCCACAAAATCAAAATCATTCGAAACCGTTTCATAAAAATAAACCCCACCTACGGGTGTTCATCTGTTAAAATTCAATGAATTTAGAAGAAACCAAATGCAATGGATTTATATCGAAGCAATCCAGTTCAAATAACTCTAAACAAATGATCCAATCCAAATACTGGATCAAATTGATTTCGTTTATTACATTTTACAATCAGTTATCTATTGATCGAATGGAATCCATACACTATTTTGATTCAACTAATCCATTATTTCAACAAATTATTCATGTCTTACTTAAGAATGAGGGACTGTTTGGCAGTTGCTGAATATTTGGTGCAGAATGATTAAGTGATCAAAATGATTAGTAGACTCACATGATATAGTACAAAATGAAATATAAATGTTTATAATGGAATTGGGGTGCTAAATTGTTTAAGAAGTCCCATGATACAAAATCATTCAGAGAGTTTTAGAACCATTAAGATGAGAGTTTTTTTTGCCAAACAAGATTCACCTCTTAGAGTTTCAATAATTATCTCTTAATGGAACTATTAAGAGGTAAACAAACAACCATCTGAATTAAATATTTACATTTACAATTCTTGTGGTTCGCTTTAAATCTGGATATCGTCCATCAAACAATTTGTCTACATCAGAGGTCCCTAACTTTTACTTTTTATCACACTGTTGGTCCCTTGAGTTAACACTGAAGCTCCCTAACCTTTAATCTTTATAATATTAAGTGGCACATGTTTCCATTTAACTAACGATGTTAAAGTCGAGGGACCACTAATGTTATTAGTGAAAGTTAGGGACCATCGGTGTAAATATTCAGATTATGAGTAAACCACATGGACTGCGAATGTAATTGACTTTTTAAAATTTATAAAAAATACTGCATAAAAATATCAAATAAGCACAAGTAGATATACAAACGTAATTTATAAGCATAAATACAAAGAAAAATCAAATAAATATTCATATCAACATAGTTTATAAGAACAATTTACAACTGAATATCCAATTTAAGTTAATTGAATTTAATCAGATCTGATAATTTTTTACTGATCCAAAATTTAATGGATTGAAATACAATGATAATTATTGTATCATGTTATCTGATTGATATGATACAATAAATCAACCACACACCAAGAAAGAACACATTTTATAAAATTCATCTATATGTTAAACCAAAATACCATGAGGACTAAAACAAAAAACTTTAGAAAGTTGAAGGACCAAAAATGAAATGAATGGCAATAACCTTTTTTATAGCTACCTACCGTATCTCGCCGTTGTATGTCCTCGTATAAAACAAAATATTGTTAATAGGCCTTTATTGTAAATAATGTAAACTATAAGGACTTTTATGAAAAATATAAACTTATATTTATTTATTTTGGGTTTCTTATTATCACGATATCTGGTTTTATTCGCATTTTCTCTCTCATCGGCGAGTGTGTGTGCGTGTCACCGGAAGTGATTAGTGATCTGAATAAGGACAGAATCAAAGGGGACATGGCGAATCTCCGGCGGTTTTTATGACCGGAATGTCAGTTTTCGACGATCATCAAGTGAATGATTCATTATAAGGTATTGATCTCACGGTTTTTCTACTTTCTCTCTCTAAAACCGCCGTGAGCTCCTTTTTGGTTGTGTTTTTTCCTATGATTCGATGTCGCTTTTCGAAGGTAAAAACAGAATCAGATTCTCTTATTATTCTTTCTGTGATTGCAGCTTTTTTTCCCCTAATGATCTTGTGAAATAACCATATTAGGATGAAGTTGAACTTCAAATGAAGATAGAAATTAGGGCTTTTGTTTTTTTTGTTTTTGTGTTGATTAAATAATGATTTCAGTTTGAAACGAGTGGGCGTGATTTTGTTTTGTCTGTTTCATTTTTATTTTTTATTTTGGGATCTTTTTGTAAAGCCTGTTTCAAGTGGTGACTGCTTGATGTGAAGTCTCATGTGAATATGCTGGAATTTCATAATCTGTTATAGTCTTGTCCCTCTTATTATCCTTCTCCTTTTTCCCCTTTCTATTATCCTCTTGATGATCTATCAGAGATGCTTCATTCTGTAGATATGCCTTGCTTCCCTATCACTTCTAGCCCTACTGAATTAATTGATGCTATCCCCAATTCATGATTCACAAGAAAATCACCAAGTAGGTGTCTCTGAATTCTATTCTTGATGTTTGGAGCTCAATCTTAGGGCTGTCCAAACGTTTATCAGTAAGTGAAGGTTGTGACTCTTGCCGATAAGCATACGCTAAACGACCCCTTGGAAAGAATATCAATTAGGGTTGTTCTTATAATTTGAATTAAAATGATTCTTCTTCTTCTTTTTCTTAATATAAGTTCAAGTTGGACCAAATTGCTGATGATTTGATTCAAATTCAATATCATACCGTTTGTTCAAAATCTACTTGTTTCTGCTTTCTGTGTGTTTTGAGTTGTAACCACATGTTCGTCCTCATCATTTTGTTTAATTTCATTCTAATTTGATTATTTCATAAGATCATTAGGCAAAAAAGCTGCAAATACATAAGAATAATAAGAGACCCTGATTCTGTTTTTATCTTCTGAAAGCCATATGGAATCATAGGGGAAAAACACAACCAAAAAGAGCCCACATACTGTAAAATTAAAAAAAGAACGCAGCAAAAGAGAGAGAAAAAGATCGGTTTTAGCCAGAGAAATCCTAACTATGAAATGTGTCAATTCATAGGTATAAACATGAGCAAGATTCAGAATGGAAAAAATCGAAATCCTGAGAAACCTATTCCAGGATGTTTGGGAAGAATGGTGAATCTGTTTGATATGAATACTGTCGTGGGAGGGAACCGGCTTCTTACAGACAAGCCACATCATGATGGTGAGTTTCTTTACCTCTTCACCTTTAGCTCATTCTCTTTTCATGAGATAACCGATGATCGAATATCTTTCTTTGCTACATTTACACAACAATTGGGTTGTAATGACTAATGACCCTGCATTATATTTCATATTATCAAAATGTTTGTGACAAAAATGTAATATTCAACAGGTTCTTCGTTCTCTAGGAGGCAATCAGACTTGTCAACGACAAGTCTAGTTGATGATCAGACGGATGATAAAGCGGTAATCACTTGAAATTTAATATTTTTCATTGTACCAAGACTTCGTTCTGCCTTGACATAATATGTTGACGTGCTTCCATTCTTACAATTTTTGGGCTTCTCATTTGTACCTAATACTATATATATGGAACTTGAATTTTTCCTCGTGGGGATATGCAGATGGTATCCGAGATAAGAAAATCTCCATCAAACAGGAAATTAAATGGAACACCTATAAAGACGCTTATTGCACAAGAAATGTCGAAGGAAGACGACTGTAAGCAAAGCCCGTCCAATTTGGTTGCCAAGCTAATGGGGCTCGATGCTCTCCCGAACCATATGAGAGAATCGAGGAGCCAGTCGGGATCCTCGGAGCTTTTGCAGCGAGACCATGGGTTAATGGATAATCAGTTGAAACGCGTGATAACTGAATATCCGGAACAGAGAGAATACAAAGATGTGTTCGAAATATGGCAGCGAGATCATGAACCGGAATGTGCGAGAGATGATTCATCGCGAAAGGGAAGGTGTAAAGAGAGTAAGATGGATCTTGTCCGGGAGAAGTTCATGGAAGCGAAACGTCTATCTACTGACGAAAAACTTCGCCAGTCGAAGCAGTTTCAAGATGCATTGGAAGTTTTAAGCTCGAATAAAGATTTGTTTCTCGAGTTTTTACAAGAACCCAATTCGTTGTTTTCACGTCATCTATACAGTTTGCAGTCCGTTCCTCCGCCTCCGGACTCTAGACGCATCACCGTTCTTAAGCCTTCGAAGTTGGTCGATAGTCATAAGATTATCGGTTCAGGAAAGAAGAACGAAAAGCAGGTGAAGGAACGGGGGCAAATGGGGTGCCCGAAGCCGGCATGGGATAAGAACAGTTCTGATTTTTTATTTTCTCCTGAATGTTGCAAAACCGACGATAACCCGACCCAACCAACTCGCATTGTGGTACTGAAACCGAGCTCCGTGAAACCTCATAACATCAAAGTTGTTGCTTCACCGCCTTCTGCATCATTAGGAACATCACACGATGATATATTTGACGGGGATCGAGAAGACAGTGAGGCCTTGGAATCACGAGAAATGGCGGAAAGTGGGCTTAGAAGAAACGAGACCCTTCTTTCGTCGGTTTTTTCGAATGGTTATATCGGTGACGATAGTTCGTTCGGTAAATCCGAAATTGATTATGTAGCAGGGAACCTTAGTGATTCAGAAGCCATATCGCCAACTTCTAGACACTCATGGGACTATATTAATCGGTTTAGCCCGTATTCTACCTCTTCCAGCCGTGCATCTTATTCTCCAGAGTCATCTGTTTGCAGGGAAGCTAAGAAACGCCTCTCGGAAAGATGGGCAATGATGGTGTCAAATAAGAACGTTCAAGAACAACGACAAATACAAAGAAGCTCAAGTACGTTGGGCGATATGCTCGCTCTTTCTGATTTAAAAAAATCAGTGAACTCCGAGGAAATCTGTAAAAGTAAAGAAGATGCTGATAATGGTCCTAGAAATCTTCCGAGATCAAAATCCGTTCCCGCATCTAGTTCTGGACTCGGTGTAGAAGTTCCGGGTTTGTTGAAAGGCAAAACAGATGATACCGAGGATTTGGTGAAGGAAAAGCTTGTGAAATCGTCATCGTTCAAGGGGAGGGTTTCGAGTTTATTTTTCTCTAAGAATAAGAAATCTAGCAAAGAGAAGTTTCACGAGCCAAAGGCTGTACCTCAATCGGCTAGATTTCCCGTACATTCCCGAAGAAGTGGTGGTAATGAAGGCTCGGAATGCATTAATGGCGTGATCGTTGAAGAAGAATCATGTACGCAACTACGTAGATCATTGGGGAAAGCATCTGGCCAAGGTTTGACCGATGCAGGACTAAAACAAGGCATAATTCTACCCGAGGTATGGCCTCTTCTTTGAGTTAGATATTGTGTTTTTGCTTATATGGAGTAGAGGCGGGTTCAAATGAGAACCATAAATATTTAAGAACCGTGAAAGTGGTATATGCATTGAAGAAAGTTCCGTTAGGAACACAAAATAGATTAGGAACCTGAGAACCGTCCATAGCATGCCATGTGTCCCTCTTTAGGATGACTATGATTATTCATTAAGAATAACACATTGAATATGTCGCATATTCATGATGAATAACACATCCATATTTATGAAAAAATATGCCACGTGTAGCATTATGGGCGGTTCCCGGTTTCTTAATCAATTTTAGGTTCCTGATGGAACCTGCTCTGTGCACTTACACTGTCAAAATATGTATTATGTCAATGAGTATATTCATCAATGAAATATCTATTATTTATGTAAGTATATAGCATTGATGCATTTACTCACTGAAATTCATAGTGCATATAATGGTTCTCACAGTCCTTAACATATTTACGGTTTTCATTTGAGCATATCTCTATCTGAGTATATCATGTTCTTTTTCATATATGCTCTCATTTGAGGAGTATCCATCCGTAAAACAAGAACATAATTTGTTCAACTTTTAAAGCCTTTGCATTCTACCTCTTAACTTTGTGCTTTATACATACATATGAATAAAACGATTGCTTATTGCAGGCGGGATTTTCTTTCACGAAGACGGAAATTTCTGGAAACCACAGTGAGAACCAAGACCAACCAAGCCCTATTTCGGTGTTGGAACCACAGTTTGAGGAGGATGACCGTTCAACAAACTGTCATCGTGATCCCAAGCCGAATGCACATGGTAATTCTTATTAGTAATTGAATTGTATGTTCTCGTTATAAATATTTTCCCATATATTGTGAAAATCAAATAAAAACCGCAAATATGTTACAAACCCGTAAAAACTAATACAAACCATTTAATAGTTTGATTTTAAGCTTTGATTCCTATTGTTTCACGTGTTCTATTTGTCTGTTCCATATTATATATATGAATCGTATTTTCGTGCTCTCTTTCACATGCAGTTTTCATTTGATTTGCCACACCGCACACACGCACATATATATCATGTAAAAACCAAAAAAAGGTTACAAATCCGTGAGAACCAATCTCGATGTATTGTTTTACATGTTTTTTCATCTGAGGCTAGGATTTAAAATATTGCTTCTCTCTCTCTCACACACATATATAGGGTTAGATTAAGGGAAAACTGCAAAAAAATGAAAAAAATGAGGAATACCCTAATAATATGTACATGTGTATACAAGTAATTTGTCCGATATGTACTTGTGCATAGAAACAGAGAGCATGCACATGTGCATATTGTACAGATGAATGGTTACTAGGGTGTTCCTCAGTTTTTCAATTTTTTATGGGTTTTCCTTGAACCTCAATCTATACATATATGTGTTTTGGCAATGTGAAACTTTTTTACATTTACTTTTTGTTTCACAACATTGTATGGTTCGCATGTATTGTTTCACTGATTCGCCGGTTCTCAATCTTTTTGAGGTTCTCATTTGATTTCTAGTAGAGTGTTCGATATTCTTCACACAACCTACACTTATGCTCATAATGTTAATGTTTCTTGTTGTATTAACAGGAATCGAGCCTATGAGATACAACTTGATTGATAAATCTCCGCCCATTGGATCCATAGCCCGGACTCTATCCTGGGATGATTCTACTCTGGGTTCATCCACACCTTATGCAGGTAGACCCTCATCCGCACCCCTCGGTCCAGAGGAAGAAGAGCGGGAATGTCTTTTCTACGTTCAAAGCTTGCTATCTGTAGCCGGTCTCAACGACAACGTACGGTCAAACTCATTTTTAGCCAGGTGGCATTCACCCGAAAGCCCTCTAGACCCATCCTTAAGGGACAAATACATGAACCTAGTAAGCGAAAAGGATCCAATCCTGATCCAAACCAAACGCAGGCATCACACCGCGATAACAAAACTCGTGTTTGACTTGGTCAACGAGTCGTTAAGAAACATCGCAGGGCGTGGGCCCTGCAGCGGGGCCCACAGCATCCTGGAAGACATGGCATTGGTTAAGGACCGCGTGTGGGCCCAGATGAAGGAGTGGATGTCGGTGGAGGAACGGTGGGATTGGGAGGAGGGGGGTGGCGTGGCGGGGGAGGGGGTGGGTGGAGGGATTGAGATTGGAAGGTGATGATGATACAAGAAAGGAAATAGAAGGGAAGTTGCTGGAGATGCTGGTGGAAGAATGTGTGTTGGAGTTGACAGGTAGAGCTTGATGAGGTTTTGTTTTATTTTTATTTTTATTTTTATTTTTGGCTAAATTATTATAGCACAATTATTTTGTTTACCATTAAATATGTTAGTATTATAATGGCTTGCAAGTTTCCAAAAATGGCACTTCTTTTTTTGGCTGTCATTATAGTTATAGAGTAAATTTCCCTTTTTGTCCTTGTGGTTTGTTAAAAATTACGATTTTCATCTCTGTAGTTTAGAAATTGTGATTTTCATCCTTATAGCTTGTAATTCGTTGTTGTTTTCGTCCTTACCATTTGTAATCTGTTATTGTCTCGGTATTTGTGATTTACTATTCGTTGCTGTTTTGGTACCTTGTACTTAAGTTTGTAATTAGTTAGGGACGAAAATAACAATGAATTGTAAATTATAGGGATGAAAATTGTAAATTTTTAAGCCATAGGGACTAAATTTGTAATTTACTCATGGTTATATTTAAGTACATAATATGTGTCTTGTTGTTTTCCCAAGGTCTCAAGATCTCCCTTTCTTTGTGTGCCATTTAAGGGACAAAACCTAGTCTTTTTTAAGACCTACTTGGGAAGTTGTCAAACATAACCTTTATGTATCCTCAATTTCATTTTATAGTAGGTGTAACACTTTAACAACTTGAATGATCTGTATTAAGGGTGTTTATAGGTTGGGTTGATCGGATTGAAGATATTTGAATAACTCAATCTAACACTTGCGGTTTGAAAAATCATAACCTAATCTAACTCAAACCAAAGTGTAATCCAATCAACCTAAATCGTACGGGTTGATCATGTTCGTCGGGTTAATAGTGTAATTATCTAATGTATATATTAATATAAACTCAACAATCATGTTAAATTCAAGAAATAAAAGAATATTGGGTTTATCGGATTTGGTTGAGTTCAAATAATAGTAACTCAATATCAACCGAATACCTACGGTTTGAAAATTTCGCAACTCGATTAGACATTGAGTTGCTTCGAGTTGAGTTATTTCGCGTTGGGTTAGGTTGATCGGGTTGGTCAAGTTTTTGAGCACCCCTGATCTATACTTCAAAAGAAAAAAAAAACTTGAATAATATGTTTTTTTATCAATTTAATATTCATAAAGTAACATTTTAACAAATTGTTAAAGTGCTAAAACAAATTCTAGTATATATATATATATATATATATATATTGTTAGACTAAATAAGATCTAAAACAAACTTTACTGTATTTTGAGATATTTGGTCAGATTTAGAGACAAACCATATGAAAAACGGAGGAATGCTCTACTAACCGTTCATTTCTAGGGTATGTACATGTGCATACAAATAATTTTTTCAATATGCACATGTATATAACATGCACATATGCATAGAAGTCAGAAAACATCTTCAATTACTTATATACACACTGTAAAAATGCACAGTTATTAAGATGTTGCTCAATTTTTCATATTTTTTAAGATTTTCCTTAAACCTTCCCTTCATATATTTTGTTTTTAAAAAATCAAATTCTTAAGATGGAGTTTACAGGTTTTATACATTAAAGTCATTGTAGCCCCCCACCCTATTCATGGTTCACCACATACTTAGCCCCCCACCCTATTCATGGTTCACACAAAAACATCATCATCTGCCAAGGTGGTTTTCAGAGTT